AGGTCCAGGCCCAAACCCAGGGGTGTAGGGGAATGTTGGGGGTCCTCGAGGTTTCGGCTGAGGGCTTAAGGTTTGATATGGACGCTTCAAGACTTACCAATAGCTTTCCTTAGGGTTCCGGCGAGGACCTGGCGACCCGGATGCAAAAAGATTTCTTCTATGACTGACCCTATGGTCGACTCAAAGCTCTATTCGAAGCCCCGGCTGATGGTCTGGCTATGTTTTGGGGTTTTAGTGAATGAGTATAGAGCACTTTGGGACACATGATGGAGTCTGTATCTTGAGTTCTGTGTCAGTGTCATGAATAACCCTAAACTCTAAACCTTATAAACCCTAACCATGAAATACTAGCAAGAAAGAGCCCCACTTCAGGTGAAGATGAAGCGATTCTGGAGTTCCAGGACATCTGGGCTGAAGCAAGCACCATCCGGAGTAGTTGCATAGTGCTTGCTATTGTCTCATAGCCGTGGAGAGTCGGAGGCTTTACCTTCGTAGGTGCAGGATGGTGAAGGTAAACTAAACCCTTTGCGTGCTCTTGAGACGGTGGCCACAGCTAGATCGCCGCATGCGGGCTGACAGATCGGGTTTGGGCTACCAGACGGAAAACAGCTTTCAACAGAATCTTAACAGCGCTCAGGATGCTTTGTGTTTTGGCATCAGGCTCCGTTCAAACTCGGTGGGGCCAGCAATTAAGTGCTAGGGTTTAGGGTCGGGTGGCCGCGCACCGGTTGCGATGACAATGATCTTGTATTCTCTTCAACCCTGCAATCGCAAACTCCAGCTCGGGCTTCGTGGTCGGGTTAGTCTAGGGTTTTCAGAGCAGACTTACTCAAGCCAGGCTTTGCTTGTGACAGCCCCAAACTGCTGCTGCTGCTGCTACTGCCAGTGCCGCTTCCACTGCCACTTCTGCTACCGTTGCTACGACGATCACTGCTACTGCTTCCGCTAAGGCTGCTGCTGGTGCTGCTCCCGCTGCTGCCACAACCCTGCTTCTGTTGCTGCTACACCAACAGAAGCTCAGCAGGAATGTGCCCTTCTCGTGGGTTCCGTGGTGACTGCCGGGCTCTCGGACGACAGCATGCGCATGCTGTCTCCCCATACTCTACCCTTGCCTACTCTGATTGCACAACATACTTGCAAAGCTTGAACTTTAGGCCTCGAGAATTCAGATGTCTCCCCATTGCAGTGGGTAAGACCTCCTGAGTCATCCCATGCTGTTTCGCTTTCGTATGGAGGCTGTTGCACAACATGGCCGGTCTAGACCGCGTCGGTTTTGCGTTCAGAGCCCACGGTTTGTTTGAGTCCAGGTAAAGTTTTTGTTTCGGGACCTCTCTTGAAACCACCAGGTCCAGTCTAGGGGGGACCACACTCAATGGCCACTCTCCGCCTCTCCAGCCGAAGATCTAGCCACTTCAACCCGTTCTTGTTCTGAGTCTCGAACAGAGAAAGGTATCACAAGCACGCCCAAGAAGGAACCATAGAAGGAACCCTAAACCCTAAACCCCAAAGCCCAAAACCCTAATCCCCAGACCCTCCTCCCCCCAAAAAGCCCTAAACCCCCATCTTGGGAAGCGGAAGGTGGTCGGAGAGTTACATCGTGGTGCAGACGGTCAGCTGACGCTGAGGTCGCCCGTCGCCGTGGTTTTTTGGTAGGGCTCAGGGTGTAGGTTTTAGGGTTTTAGGGTTTAGGGTTTAGGGGTTGTGGTTTAGGGTTTTATAGGGTTTAGGGGTTTGGGGTTTAGGGTTCAGGGCCAGAGCACAAAAACGCAAGACATGCGAAGTAGGGGCCTCTTGTGTTTTAGAGCCATCTGCACCATCGTAGCGGGGCTATGTGGGATTTCTGGCTCAAAAGCCGACCCTGTCGTGCCCAAGAGGAGTTTAAAAAGAGGGGAGTCCTTGTAACTTTAAGAAATTCTCGAAACCCCATATTGAAGCCCAGTACAGATCACTACGTAAGCCTTCAGGACCCGGGTAAACGCCGAACCCGGCCCTAAAACACCAAACACCGAACCCCCGGCCTCACAACTATCCCGGATAGTATCTCATATACAACCCTGGGCCGCAAAACTTACCCCCCCCCCAAAAAAAAAACCTGAACCTTAAACACTAGTTTATATTGTGTTATATCATCATATACACTATAATGTATATATTAGTATATATATATATGTATATGTATATATATATATATATATGAGCACACACTAGTACATATGAGGATGTATTCACTGCCAGGCCCTTCCAGGGCGACGACACAACCGCCTTCTGGCGGGCGAAGAAGTCCTTGAGGGAGCCCTGGCGTGCTCCGCCCCGGCTTCTTCTTTGAGTCATAGGGTTTAGGGTTTTAGGTTTAGGGTTTAGGGGTAGATTTTGGGGAGTTATAGGGTTTAGGGTTTTAAGGCTCCGGGTTTAAAGGTTGAAGGGGTAGAATTTTGCTCTTTGGGGGTTGGCTGTATGTGTCTCAGACCGGTGGCAAAGAGGGGTTTAGGGTTTAAGGTCGGAGGTTTACGGTTACGAGGGGTCGCTGCCCAGGGTTTCTATGTAGGGTTGTATAAGGTTCTATCAAGGTTGAATGGCGGGGAGGGTTGAAGAGTTTAGGTGTTTGGAGTTTAGGGTTTCGGAATTATTGGAGGCTGGTTTAGGGGTTCGGGTTTATAGGGTTTTAAGGCCTGCTGGCTTTGAGGCTTTGAGCAGCATTTCAGGGCACTGTTCGGGTTTGGGTCTTTTGAGAGGTCTCGGGCAGTTCACAAGTCCCTGACTGTGACGTCTTCGCAGTTGCTACTTCGGACAGTGGAACAGTTCATCTTCTGCATCTTACACTCGCCTGTTGTTTTTTCGTTACTCTGCAAATCCCTCTTGCTCGTTGTGTCGATGGTGGCCTCGGGTGGCCGTGGGCACTTGGAGGGCGTCAGGTTCACAAAGGTTCTAATTGGCACGCGTTTTGGACCCTATGTCACTATAGTAGGGACAAGACAATGGCAAGGCGGTCCGCAGAAACCAGTATGTAGAAAAACCCTTCTCACTGTAAGTCGGTGAGATGGAAACATCAGGAGACCAGATTGCTTTGGGCCCTTCCGAAACCCTATGCAATACCTCGACTTCCTAGAAAGAGTCAAGCCTTGAACTCGAAACCTAGACGCTGAAGCTCAGAACCCAAAGCAGCGTAGGGTTTGCATGGACAAATACATGATGCAAGACACAACCCTTGTGGGAATGCATGCTGCATGGAGAAGCCTTGATATCTGCGTGGTGCTTGATCTCGTGTTGTGAGGGCGCTAGAAGTGTAGGTAGAGAGTGGTTTCACAGGTCTCCGATCAGGCAGAACTATAGGGGATGGGTGCGCTCTGGTCTAGGGCTGTTTGTCTTGGTTGGAGGCTGCTGTCAGACAGGCATTTGCTATGGGGTGCATGCTTGTTGGTGTCTTGTGTCTTGCCTGCCCTGACAGCGTGCTTGCTCGGTGAATCGACTGAGTAGGCGAACTGGCCGTTGAACCAGTATTTCTGCAGACCTTGCCAGGCTTGTCCGAGTGCGAG